TATTCGAATGGATGAGAAAGAAAGTGGAGTTGATCAAATGGTTTAGTGAAAAACTACGGCAATACAGTGATGGTTTTGTTGTTGGCACTGTTTGACAGAGTTTTGCTTCCTGACAGTGAAATCTTTTCAGTGTCTTTAGGATTTATTGCCCATAGACTGTTGAGTTTATAGTTATTTAAGTGCGAGAGAGTTACATCGGCGTTATAAGGATGTAAGTGGAGCCGAGTTTACAGTTACCATGATAGTGTTAATAAAATTTGGTTTCACAAGAAGCGGTTTCTAGTTGGAGAAGTGGATGACTGAACTAGGAGAAAAAGGCTATTGTTGGTTACACAGCGAACGGTTAGGCGTTAACTTGTAGACAATGACTGTTCATTACTTCCGTTTTGGCATGACAAGATATTTTTTTATTGGTTTTCGCGAATAGATCGTTAGAAGAAGCGAATTATCAAACGCTGCAAATAACGTAACTTGATAACTTTCAGACGGAAATAATGTATTATATTAAAACTAAAACAGCTCATTCAGTGAATTCTTGAGAAGCAGAAATTTCTGTTTTGGACCATACTTGATATGATTTCTTTCTTCCTTTGATCAAAGAAGGATTGCTGTCAGTAGCTTTATAGCAGAATAATAAACCAATGACGGGATCTAACAATTGAATACAGCAACGGTAAAAAAAGGTTTCGTTGGACTGGGTTGTCTGTCCATTCAGTCATCATCTGAAGGCACAGTAATGGTGTGCGATCGGCTTATAATGTTTACAGATGGCTCATCGTTGGTCATATAACCGAAATATTAACCTCAGCTTATTGTGTTGCGTACAATGTTGCATCTTGGACGGGCCTGTTTGATAACTTTTTTTGGTGATTTTTATAATCTGACTTTAGGAGATAGCCGATTCTGTGCCAGTATAAATCTTGAATTCCAGTAACAATTGCGTTTGATAATAGTTACAGTTTTGTACGATAAAGTGATCACCATCTGTCTATATGAATACCGTTGCTGATCATTACTTCAATCAGTTACTGTTTAATTCTGCATAATTTTTGCATTAGTTACGACAGTAAATTTGAACTATTTCGCCTGAAAACTTTTATTTATTTATTTATTTATTTTTTTGCTGTACTTTTATTAACATTTCTGATAAACTCGTTATTGTAGATCTTCTAATAGACAGTTTTTAATTGGATTTTTTAGGGAATTTTTTCTGTTTGGAGGTATTTATCAAATTATTTTAGTTCTATTTAAACATTTGATGAAATTTGGATTCATAGAATTGGCAAGTTTAATCAAAAAAACAAGTTTTTTTTTCATTAAAAACTGTATCGAACTGTAGAATAAAGCATTTAAATAATTTGAACTTTACTTTCAGTTTAAATTTTCTTGCGGAAAAAAGTAATTTTTTTGCGATTTTTTGGTGTTTAATGTCAAAAATAAAATTACCGCTATTTGTCTGCAAATTACAAATTGTGACTGTGCAATAATTTCTGTTTTTTAATGCAGGGCTACTTAAATGCTGATCATCTGTTTAAACTGTGTACAGAGGTGTAATGTAGGGAAAATTTTAAGTTTTGATATACATTAAAAGTTTTGAATTGAGTATGCTTACTGAAAGAAGAAACCGTTAAATTGGATGGAGCCAAAGATTCAGCGGAGAAGTTCAATGGTTCATTAGCGGTGCTGTTTCAGGATCTATAGACATTACGTATGCTTCAACAATTACCGTTCAAAACCATTTTCAACAAGATTACTAACAGTTTTTCGGCTTTTCAAGACGAAAAAAGATAAACGCTTAAAATTTTAAATTGAACATATTTAATAGAAGTAATAAAATATAAACACATTTCCCTCCCACATATTTTTTTAGCGTTAAATAAATTAATGCCTAAGATATTTGGATTAAAAAGAAATATTAACAGTATGAATGTTTGCAAATGTAAAACTAATAGATTCCATACTGTACCGTAGTTTTTTGCAGTTTAGATACTTCAACATTACCGTTTTTTAAAGTTAAAATTAGTCATGTGAAATATAAACTGCAAAAACATAACAACAACAACAACAACAACGACAGCAGCTCTATGACGTCGTTTGCTGAGTTTTACCAAAAGCCAAACGAATTCTGAACGTTGGTTGATGTATGAACTCAAAAGTTACTAATGTAGGTGAAGCAGAGCGAACAAAAAAAAAAACTATCTTAAAAAACGAAAAAAAACTGCAACTTTATTCCGTAATTTAAAAAATTTTGTGAGAGAAAATGTGGAGCAATTTGCTACAGAAAGCCTAACTTTGTTGATCTCTTAGCGCTGAGGTCAAATTTATTTGTCAAAAAAGAAAACTTAAGAATTATTAATGTACCATTTGCTTCTCTTAGCAAAGCAGAATTTCAATAATGATGTTTGTCTTTTTGCTTCCTAATTTTTTTTCTCTGTTACCGACCAATAACCAAAACAATAAGATGGCCTTTTTTTGTTTTTTAAGAATTTATAGGGCTTAGAGATGTGCTAAATTAAAGGGAGTACTGAACTGTATAATGGGGTTACTTTCTGGTATGAAAAAAAAAAAACACCAACAATGACAAATTAGTTTGACATATTGGGCTTCGTTTATTTATTCATTAAACTTTGGCTTTTTTTCCGCTCTCAAACACTTCAGTTTATTTTTTTTCTTATTGCTTTCTTCAAATAATACCTTTAAATTATTTGAGTAATTTGTTGTGGTTTCGATTACATCAAAATTTTAGTTAACTCTTTTGTATTACAAAATCAAAAGTAGAAAACAGTATGTTTTCTGTGAATTTCGTCAAGTTAATACTTCATTAGTCAATTATAGTACCATATCTGTAGACGGAACATCAGGAATGCTGTTATAATGATGGACATTTCAATCCGTTTTGGCTACCTATAACTACCATCATTTTTTCTTGTGAACAATTCAGCTGATTTTATGAAAAAATTGCCTTGTACTGTATTCGTTTTCTTGCTGCTATATAATCAGTTGTCATTAATTCCAGAAGTTTTGCGATTAAATTCTGAGCAAAAAAAAAAAAACAAAAAACCGGATTATTTCTAATAGTAACCACTAAAAGCAGCGATCTAAACTTATTTGCAGTGAATTTTGCTTACTGTTATTGGATTGTTCACAATTGGCAATTGTAGTTTTCTCTTCTAATAAGTATAAATTATTTCTTAGGTATTTATTAGACAACAAGAAAAAAGAACTGAATGGTCAACTTATTGAACGGTTATCAAATTGCAACAGCAGCAATCATTTTCACAGTTATTTTCACCTTAACAGATGCTAAAGTTGAAACCATTGGATATGTTAGGTAAGTGTTTGATTATTTTCCCTTCAAAAAAAAAAAAAAAATAAGCAAAAGAGCAGAAAAAAAACCTGATTTAAGCAATTAGTCTATTTTAGTGATCCAATTGAAGTGTTAATAAAAAAACAGGATTTGATCATGGAAAATCGAATACGTACTCAGCAACAGTTTAACGCAAGGCCCTATAATACAGTTCGTAATCAGTTGCTATCTTTTGCTTTTTTTTTGCTAAAGATTCCAGTTAAATAGTGAATGTCAAACAGTTCAATCAGTATCATTTGTAGTTGCTTTTTATTTCCTTTTATTTCATTGAATAATACATATGAATTTTGGCAACAGTATAGGATGTATGAATGAAAATAGAACAATTCAAAAATTACTGTAGACAAAGTGTCGTTTCCATGAAAAAAAGTTGCGCGATTAGGAGGAATGTAAAAGATTAAACTATTTGTTTTTTCTTCAAATAACTGTAACGAAAAAAATCTTCTTTTTTTTTTT